CGGGGCCGGCGCGTGGGGCGCGGAGCGCTGCTGCTCTGGGGGCTGCCCTCGTGTCCCGGGGCGCCTGGCGCGGCGACCAGCGGGCCGACGTGCGCTGGTCGCTTCGGCGCCCCGCGCCCCGCGGGGCGCAGCTGCGTTCTCTCTTCGCGCCTCTCGCGCCGCCCAAGCTCTCAGGGGAAGAAAAGGTATCCATGCCGCTACCCTTTTCCGCGGTGTCGCCTTTTTTCGGGCCTCCTGGGAGGCCCTCGCCGCCGCCGCCGGATTCGCTCGACATTCTGGTCACAACGCACCCCGGGAGAGGCCCGCGGAGTAGCGGTATCGGTACTTCTCGGTTTCCCCAGGAGGAGGAGGAGGAGAAGGAGGAGGAGGAGGAGGAGGAACAGAAGGAAGACGGAGGAAGACGGACGGGGAGGATGAGCGGCAGGATGGTGAGGATGAGGAGGACAATGAGGATGAGGATGACGGAGGAGGAGGAAGAGGCGGAGGAATGGCAGGAGTGTGAGGATGAGGAGGAGGAGAAGGAGGAGGAGGAGGAGGAGGAGGAGCAGGAGGAGGAGGAGGAAGAGGAGGAGGAGGAGGAGGAGGAAGAGGAGGCGGAAGAGGAGGAGGAGGAGAGGGAGGAAAAGGATGAGGATGAGGAGGAGGAGGAGGAGGAGGAGGAGGAGGAGGAGAAGAGGCAGGTCTCTAGGCCCGTGCCGCGGGGCGCGGAGCGGCAGGTCCCCCCACCACCTGCAGAACTCCTCCTCCGGGCCCCCGGGTCTCCTGAGGCTCCGCGCGTTGCGCCGCCATGGGCGAGCGGCCGGATGTCTGGTTTCGGGCGGTGCTGAGGCGTCCTGGCCTGCTCGAGAAGGCCCACAAAAAATACGCGGTGGGCCCTGTAGGACTATGGGAGTACCAGGATGACCGGTCCTTATTGAAATACATCCTCCCCCCTTCTTCTCTGCTGTCCCCCGTCGCCCTCCTCTTCTTCCTCCTCCTCCTCCTCTTCCACCTCCTCCTCCTCCTCCTGCTCCCCTCCTCCTCCTCCTCCTCCTCCTCCTCCTCCTCCTCCTCCTTCCCCTCCTCCTCGTTGTAATTGTGGCCTCCTCGATTCAGGTTAGACCAATATGAGCCTAGGGGCTGTTGCGCTCGTCGCGACCTCCTCGTCCTCCTCGTCCTCCTCGCAAATCCCCCGGAAACGGCTCCTCTGCTGTCCCCCGTCGCCCTCCCCCGCGCTGCCCGCATTCCCGCACGCCCGCGCCGCCCTGCAGGGGCGGGCAGCTGCAGCTAGTGAAGGAGTGCCTGGAGCAGATGGTCGTGGAGGGCGTCACGCCGAACGCGGCGGGCCTAGACCCTACACGAGGCGTTGCAAAGAGGGCCTCCCAGAGATCCGACGCTCCAGAACAAAGTGGAGCGGGCGGCTCTCGGGACCGCGATCGGCCTCCAGAGGCCCTCGCTGGGCCTCGGGGCCGTCAACAACACACAACTCGGGGTCAAAAAATGCACTCTTCGCCACGCGAGAATCGAGAAGGGAGTCATTTGAGGCGTTCCAAAAATCCGCCGACCCTGTCGGCGTGTGTGAGGGGCTTCTCCGTTCGACTCGTCGTCTCCGTCGTCTCCGTTCTCCCCCTCCCAGGGCTCTCCTCCTCAAGCGCGCTATCCAAAGCGAAATTAAACGACGTCGTAGTGGAGTCGAAGGGAAGCCCCTTCCCTTTGATCCCTTCCCCGCGTGGGGGGGAGGGGGGGGGGGCCCGGGGCAGATACGACGCCCGCCGGGGCGCACTTTCCTCGAGCGGGCACGCACGGGATGCACTTCCTCCTCCTCCTGGTCCTCCTCCTCCTCCTCCTTTTCCTCCTCCTCCTGCTCCTCGCCTCCTCCTCTCCTCCTCCTCCTCCTCCTCCTCCTCCTGCAGAGGCGTCCCGGGAGCGGGCCCCGAGTCAAAATACCACCCCCCTAGGGCGCATTTTCCTCGAGCGGGCACGCCCGAGATGCACTTCTTCCTCTTCCGGGAGCACGTCCCAAGTCTGAATATCACACAAAGGATGCACCTCCTCCTCCTCCTCCTCCTCCTCCTCCTCCTCCTCCTCCTCCTCCTCCTCTTCCTTCTCCTCCTCCTTTTCCTCCTCCTCCTCCTCATCCTCCTCCTCCTGCTCCTGCTCCTGCTCCTCCTTCTCCTCCTCCTCCTCCTCCTCCTCCTGCTCCTCATCCTCCGCTTCCTCCCCCCACTCCTAGCCCTTTCGATCAGGGTCGGCGGCACCGGCCGTCAGGCCTCTCCAATCCCCTTGCGTTCGAGGATAACAAGGGTCGTCATCTCTTCCGCCGCGGAAGGCGGCGGAAGGGCGGCGGACGGTCGGCGGAAGTAAGACGAGGCCGCCTCCGCTGGCGGAACCCAGCGGAAGCTCGGCGAAGGGCGGCGGAAGTAAACAAAAAATGCGTCCCCAAGGGATGGAGCAGGTTTTTGAGCTCGGGGTTTCCGAAATTCGCCACGTGCCCCAAGCTTGCGCGCTGCCGGAGGCCTGGTTCGGACCCCCGGGCCACCCGAGCCCCGAGCAGACGAGCAGGGGCCAGTCCCCCAGGGAGGGGGCCGATAGCTCTGGGGCCCACGGGGTGAGGCAAGACAGGGCCTCGGCACCGCTCGGACGCGGGCTTTTTTTCTGTGCCTCGGCGACGGCCGTCGAGGAGCGGCTTGCACCATCCTGCCCCCGAGAGGCAGCGCACGAACAGCCGTGGAGGCTCGCCCTCCTCCGCTTCCTCCCCCGACACCCGGTGCTGTGAACAGGGGCACGGCCGGGCCCTCGACCCCATAGCTGACGCAACCTTTCGACGTCGGGTCGGTCCGTGTCGGTCTTCCGGCAGGGCGGTTCGGGGCGCGGCTCGCAGCAAGGTCTCCGAGACTCCGCGGTGAGTAATGAACATCATCCCAGAGGCCTTCTCATCAGCAGTTCTAGTTTGTGTCACCGTTGTTCTTCACCGTGTCTAGAGCGTTTCCCACCTGATTCCGCACATGCCCCCCCCCCCCATGGCCATAGAAATCGAGGGCCACTGAGCTCTAGTGGCCGTCCGCAGTTCTTCAGAGACGCGCGCCCGGTTTCGGTCCTGGTGACAGACATCTTCCGCTGAGCCTGGTACATCTGGCGTCTTGGGTCCTGATCACCGAGCGCGTTCCACTACTCGCAAAGAGCCTACTCGCAAGCGTCCGAAAAAACGCATATCTGCATCCATGCAATGTATCGTGAATCTCCTATGACGGATCCAGGTCATTTGCGAGTAGTTACTTTGCGAGTAGTGGAACGCGCTTGTCTAAAAAATATGGTCTTCGTGTCGAACTACTCACGTCTGCCTTCTCCTTCTTGTGCTGCAGGTGCTTGCGAACTTGCCAGAACGGGACGATGCTCCAAGCACGACGCAAGCTGGCACCTCACTGGAGCGGGTAGGAGGAGGATGAGGAGTTCCGGAGAAAGAAGACGAGGATGAAGGGAACAGCAGCAGGATGAGGAGGAGGGTGAGGGTTTCCCAACGAATGTTGGCATGGTGAGCTGGTGCTTAGGCCACGTCTGAGTTCAATTAGTTTGCGCTGCCAAGTCGACAATTCAGGACAGCGTAAAGCATTCACAGACTTTCCCATCCTCCAGCATGGCTCCAAAAGGCCCCGATGAAGCCCCGAGATGGCTCTGAGGCGGCTCCCGAGCTGCCCAGGGGTATTCTAAGATGGCCCAGAAGAGAACCCAGAGGGCCCCAAAAGTTCACCAACCCACCCTCGAAAGCTTGCGTGGCCGTGTTGGCCCAGGTAGTCCGGCCCAGAAGGTTCAGGCGCCTCAGGCGTGGCCTTTTCCAAAGGCACCATGGAAGTTCCCGCGGGGGAGCCTTTACTCGACCTTGAGGTGCTGGGCGGGGAGCAGCATGCGCTGCTCCAGTCGACGCCCCCTGGCTTGCAGCACCGCTTGGCGTGGAGGCTCGTTGCGGGCTCGGCGGCCGCGCTGCTGATCGTGAGCGCCGTGGCGGCATTCGCGCACCCTGCCTGGACGGGCGCCCCAAACTGTGCAGATGGCTCGTGCAGGAGCACCTCGCGCAGCCTGGACAGCACCGCGGTTCTCAAGACGAACCGCGGTGGCGGGGATGCCAGCGCAGGCGCGGGCGGCGGCGGCGGTAGAGGCGGAGGCGGCGGCGGCGGAGGCGGCGGCGGCAGCAGAGCTGGCGGGAGCGCCAGCACGGCCAGCCCCACGGCCAGCCCCACGGCTAGCCCGACGCCTTCGGCCTCAGAAGACCCCGCTACCCTTCCCCCCATGGCCACCACGACCGCCGTGAACGAGACTGAGTCGTTTCAGTGCTACCAGGGTTGGGAGGCCACGGCCAAACTGGCCGTGTGCGAAAATCTAGGGTTTGGTGAGGTGACTGACTGGTTCTGTGGCACCTACAGCAAACCGTGCAAGACTGACTTCTGCACGAAGGAGGAAGTCAAAGCTGGAGCCATTGCGACGTACTACCTGTGCGGAGCTACGGCGCTCGACTACTGTGAGTACTTTAAGAGCATATCTGCAGACCCCGACTCGAACGTATGTTGCGACACTCCGGCGTGCAATGTCCCGCCATCACCGTCGCCGTCGGCGCCAGATTCTCCTGACATGGTCATCACGACCAGCATGGGCGAGACGAGCAGTCTGGGCGACACGACCAGCATGGAGGAGTATGACAATGCAACGACCAGCATAGGCGAGACGAGCAGTATGGGCGACACGACCAGCATGGAGGAGTATGACAATGCAACGACCAGCATGGATGGGACGGCGCTGTTGGAGTGCTACCAGGGCTTCGGGGCTGCAGCTGAGCTGGCCGTATGCGAACCTCTAGGGTTTAGTGAGGCTGATTTCTGTGGCAGCTACAGCAGGCAGTGCAAGATTGACTTCTGCACAAAGGAGGAGGTTGAAGCTGGCGCCCTCGCGACGTACTACCTGTGCGGAGCCACGGCGCTCGACTACTGCGAGTACTACAGGAGCATATCTGCAGACCCCGAGTCGAACGTATGCTGCGACACTCCAGCGTGCAATGCCCCGCCGCCGGCGTCGAGCTCCACTGACATGGCCACCACGACCGGTATGAAAGAGACGACCAGCACGGATGAGACACCGTGAGTTTTACGCGATGCTGCATGACGCGAGCAGGATGGGTTGGAGTGAGGCTCTCGCCATGGTGTCGGGCTTCCCGCTCATTCCATCTCCTCCGCGCTCCTGGTCATCCTCGTAGCTCCGTTCTCCCTTCGACGCTCTCTCTTCGACGGCAGAGCGTGTCGTCCTTTTGCTTGCCATTCGGGCGTGCATTGGGAGTGCAATGGAGCTCTCAGTTCGCATCCTTTCAATTGAACGTTATGGGAAGCGTTTGCTGCACTGCATGTTCCATCGCGCTGTTTTGGGCGTCTCGTGCGTCTCGTACCTGCTTCTCGGCGGAGCGCCTGGGGGGAAACCAGATGAGGCGGGCCTTACCACAAGGTCCAGAATCGAATACGAATAATGAATAACAACCATAATATTACGAAGAAGAATGCGAATAATCAGGGAATACATGATAACACGAATAATACGAATAATAATCATCAGACTGATAATCATAAGGGTAATAGTAGTAATAATAATGCTAATAATAATCAGGACACCTGAATCAACATAATTGTTCAGAGCTCCGCGCGGAATTCTCGGATCGGCGCTGGCCCCCCTGGCGGCGCCTCCCAGCAGAGAGGGTGTTTGCTCCCATCGCCGATCCGAGAAACCTGCGCGGACCTCGGGAAGCGTATGCTGACGCACTTGCTCTTCCTCTTGTCACGGCATCCGGCCTTCCGAGAAGCTGTCCAGGACCCTCTCCGAAGCCCCGCTACAGGCTGGGCACCCCAGGGACCAAAGCACACGATGGCACGTCGTCACCTTTGTGCCACGTTCAGCTGCGGACCTGGGAGCCCCAACGTCGGCTTTCGCCCTCGCCCGTCTGAAACATGGCTGCATCATACGGATCATCCGCCGCCAGACCCCATCCAACCAACCCTTCTCTACACACTGTGGGGACCTTGGTTAAGGAATGCGCCCAGGAGGACCCTAGGGGCTTCCTTCTCTGACGAGGGCGGCGGTGACGTCCATGGCCGAGCCGCGATTGGCGTTCCACCGGCCTCCAGACCCTGGATTCCTTATCCAAGGGTACCTTATCCAATGCCCGCACCGTAGCGTACAGTCGGGGCGCTGAAGAAGGAACCCTTTTCGTGGGGGAGGGGCTCCGCGTTCCTGAAGTGTTTCGCAGCTTGCCTCGGGCTTTCCTTATGTTTTTCTATGGGAAATCGAAGTTTTTAACTTGTGGAAAAAAGGGGCCTCGTTCCTTATTTAGGGTTCCTTAGGTCAACGCCCCGACTGTAGGAGCCACGGACAAGGCAGCAGGCGCCCCCCACGAGTTGTTTCACACGCCCCCGTGCATGCGCGTGACATGTGAATTGGGTTCGCTCCCCCGAAGATGCGCACGAAGAGAACGCGTGCGCTGCAAACGCCCTGTGAAGACGCCCCGACTGTATCCAATGCCCGCACCGTAGCGTACGCCAGGCCCTCTCCGAAGCCCCGGCGCCCTCTGAGACGGCCCATCCCCATCCTCACCGCCCCCCGCGGCGCGCCGCCCGACCTCCCCCCGCTGCCCGCGACCCCCCAGCCTCCGCCCTGGCCCCGCCTCTGTCAGGAGGGGAAAAAAACACAGACACAACTAATCGTCGACTCCCAGGAAAATATGGGAGAATATGGGAAGTGGGGGGGAGACAGAAACCCAGAAAATATTGAAAAACTATGGGGAATCTTTTTATTCTATAGGCGTACGCCACATCCGCCGACCCCTTTGTTCGAAAAGCGTTGTGGTTTCTCTGGGGTCGCATGCAGTGTCGGCACCATTCTCCTGCAATGTTGCGTGCAGCGTGTGGTCGTGATGAGGAGGAAGAGGAGAAGGAGGAGAAGGAGGAGGAGGAGGAGGAAGTGATCGCGGGGATCTCTTGGGGGGCTCCTCGCGGGACTCTTGGAGGCAGTTTGGAAGCCTCTTGGGGGCCGTTTTGGGGCCGTTTGGGGCCCTCTTGGGGGCCTTTTTGGGCTTCTTAGGGGCGTCTTGGGGGCCTCTTGGGGCCTCTTGGGGCCTTCTTGGGCCGTCTTGGGGCGGAAGGCTCGGATTGTCGGTTCAAGCTCCACCTCTCGGGCTCCTTTTGAGGCCGTCTTGGGGCCCTCTTGGGCCGTCTTGGGGGCCTCTTGGGCCGTCTCGGCGCCCTCTTGGGCCGACTTTAGCGCTTCTTGGGGGCCTCTTGGGCCGTCTTGGGGCGGTGTTGGTGTGCTCTTGGACCGTCTTCCACGCCGTAAAGGCCGACAAGTCGTACATGATGAAAATGTACGTTATCCCATAGGAGTTTGACGATTTCCGGCTCTTCGGCCCTTCTGAGGACTGCTCTTGGAGGCCTCTTGGGCCGTCTTGGAGGCCTTTTGGCTCGTCTTGGGGCCATCTTCGGCGTCTTGGGGCGCTCGTTTGGCGTCTCGGGACCCTCGTGGGCCGTCTTGGAGACGTCTTGGGACCTTCTTGGCCCGTCGTGAGCCCCATTTGGGCCCAAAAGAGGCCCGTGAGTCGCTCGGCGTGGGCCTGGGGGGGGGGGGGTCGAATCGTCGGTTTGGGGTCTATGGGGAATATTTTTATTTGTGTGTCCTGGGGCCCCTTCACTCTGTTCGGGCCGAACGAAAGGGGTGGATAGAAAACAAAGGGGTTACGGAATCTGCTGCATGTAGCTGGTTTCGGCCCCGCCGCCGGGCCCATTCCTCGATACATGGGCGCCTCCCGGCGCCAGGAGGAGCTGGGAAAATCAGCTACGTGAGCTGATTATCTACCCTACCCTTTCCTATCCCCCCCTTTCGTTCCCCCCGATCTGTGCGCCTCCCCGGGAATGTAGCAACACTCGCGCGCAGCAGTGGTTTTTGTTCGTTAGCTCGGGCAGCACTCCGGGCAACACTGCCTGTACTCTCGCTTCCTTGGCGGGTTCGAGCCTCACGCCGATGGATGACTGCATATGCGCATCAGGCTCTGGTGCCGAGATAGATACAACAGATACAGAGGCTGCCCGAGCTGACGAAAAAACCGTTGCTGCGCGTGAGTGTTGCTACATTCCCCTCCGTTGTGGGCCGGCGATCGTTGGCATCTCGCGGCAGTTACGGGCAGATCCCGGCATCCGACGGACTTTTGGGAATTCGTCCATGGTTGCAGCTTGTGGCGGCGTCTGCTCTGTACTCCGAAGAAAATCTCGATGCGCGTCCGCTCACGGGCGCGAGACAGGATGGCATCAGGCCAAAGCTCATCTCGAGCGGGGGGGGCGTGGACCAGTTCAGACCGGTGTGTTCGTAGACGCACGCAGCGGCGGGCAAAGCAAAAGACAAGTTCTCCCGAGCAAGCCCCAAGAGGCCCCCCAACAATTGTCGAACTCCGAGGCCCTTGTCGGAGTGTTCACACCTACGCAAAGAATGACCCCCGAAAGACCCTGACAGCGCCCCAACAGGGTCGCAAGTACACCCCTAAAGAGTGTCAGATGGGCCTCCAGAGGCCACCCCATCCCTTGAATCCGCGGCTTGGCACGATAAGGATGTGGATCCGTGGCTCGGCCTCTTCTCACCGCGAAGGTCCAGGGGCGGCGACTACGCCAGAATGACAGCCAAGTCCAGTCCACAGACGGTGGCGCTTGAAGCCGCGGCTTGGCACGATACGGATGTGCATTCGCAGGCAATGCTTCTCCCCTGATCCCCGAATTCAGCCCGAAAAGTTTGGCCGCTCAGGAAAAAGCGGGAACCCTGAGATACACCCCAAGGAGGAGGCTATTCGGACGCACCCCTATCGAGGATGGACGCCCCCCCCTCGTATATCCCAGGGTTGGGCCTCAAATTTCTGGTCCACTCGTAAACCCCACGAGGCCTGGGATGGGGGTCGCGACACATCTCCAGTTCTGTGTCGGTGGCTCGGCCTCTCCTCTCCGCGAAGGGCCACGGGTGGTCCCTGCGCCAGGATGACAGCCTTCCGGCAGTCCACAGGCGGTGGGGGGAAGCAATGCGCCATGGGATCTGGCAACCATCGCCGCAGGCCGCCCGTGGTGCGCTCGCGCGCTGCTGCTCGTGTCCCTCCCGCCGTGGGACCTGGCAGAGATCCGCACGCTGCCAGGAGGCTGGGAGGCTTTCGTGACCCTCGGCCGCCACCGACGGCGCGAAGCTGCTCGCGGCTCGCGGCTCGCGACCTCTCGCCCCGATCTTCGCGATCTTCGCGATCCGCGAGCGCCGAGCAGCGCGGACGTGGCTGCCCCTGGCGACGCGGCCTGCCTGGGCGAGAGCGTGGACGCCGCGTGGCGCTCGGGCCTCCCTTGGCCGGGCCCGCTGGGCCTCCGCGTGCGCCCCGCCGGGAGCATGGCCTCTTGCTGTTCCGCGCGTGCGCCCGGCCGGTGCGCGGCCCCCCCGAGAGGCCTCCGCCGGAGCTCCCACGGAATGCCGCCTCGGGGCGTGCCCAGAGGCAGCCCGGCTCCAGAGGGCCCCGGAGGGCGAACAAGAATAGCGGAGGAGGAGGAGGAGGAGGAGGAGGAGGAGGAGGAGGAGGAGGAGGAGGAGGAGGAGGAGGAGGTCGTCGGGAGCAAACAGGACAACGTGCAACACGTGACCAGGACAATGTGCACAGTTGCTGCGGATGAGGACATGGCAAGGAGCGCGACTTGTGGCGGACGTGGAGGCTTGTTGGCTCGCGCGTTGTACCGCTCACGGGAAGAATTTGGATGAGGCGCTACCGTGGGATATGGCATGGAGAGGGCAAGACGTAGCAGACAATGATGATCAAGATAATGCAATCGGTCGAAGGACGTAGGAAAAGAGTCGAGAAGGCAAGAAGAAGGGCATGGACATTGAATGCGGCAGGAGAGTGACAATAGTTGAGGAGTAAGTAGGGGAAGGAAGGAAAAAGTGTGAAGACGATACGTCTCCGCGTGTGGCGTCATTCCGCTGAGCCTCCCAGGAGCCCACGAAAGTGGCGACGATTGCGCAGCTGGCAACCCCACGCGAGGTTAAGTCTGGATGTGCGTAGGACACCACTCCGCTGGACCCCCCAGGAGCCCACAATGTTGGCGACCGTTGCGCAGGTGGCAGCCCCCCAGGGAGCCGCGAGGTTTACCCTAGATGTGCCTAGGACACCGCTCCGCTCCGCTGGACCCCCCCAGGTGCCCACGACATGGCGACATCCGCGCAGGTGGCAGCCCTCCTGGAGGGCGCGAGGTCTGGTGAAGGCGCGCGTGGGACACGAGTCCGCTCGACCCCCCAGATGCCAGCGAACGTGGCGGCAGCTGCGCAGGGGGCAGCTCCCCACGGAGCCGCGAGGTTCTGGCCTGCATGTGCGCAGAACGCCCCTCCCCCTCCCCCTCCTCCTCCTCCTCCTCCTCCTCCTCCTCCTCCTCCTCCTCCTCCTCTCCTCCTCCTCCTCCTCCTCCTCCTCCTCCTCTCCCTCCTCCTCCCCCTCCCCCTCCTCCTCCTCCTCCCCTCCCCCTCTCTCCTCCTCCTTCTCCTCCTCCTCCTCCTCCTCCTCCTCCTCCTCCTCCCTCCTCCTCCTCCTCCTCCTCCTCCTCCTCCTCCTCCTCCTCCTCCTCCTCCTCCCCCCGAGGAGCCCACGCAAGTGGCGGCACTCGCGCAGGTGGCCGCGCGCCCCCAGGGAGCCGCGAGGCCCGGCCTTCGCATGCGCCCAGGACGCCGCTGCGCCAGGGAGCTCCCTTGGAGCCCACGGACTTGGCGACGGCTGCGCAGGTTAGTGGAAAAAAACGGACTAAATGAAATAAACAAATGAACAGATGAGGGAATTTAAGGGGACCCCGCACATAGAAGCGTAGCGAAGCTACGCTCAGCGTAGCGAAGCTACGCCGTATTAGATACAACCTGGGCTATCGCAGGGCGACGCCGTGCCGACCTCCAAGATGCCAGAGGGGCGGGGTCAGCCCAAGATGGTCTCCAGCAGGGCTCCCAGGGGCCCCCAGGTGGCTCCAAGTTGGCCCTGGAGCCTCGAGGGAGGTACCCCAGAAGAGTGCCCACATCAGCTTTATAACCACAGGCCGTGTTCCACGGGTTTAACCTTCTGGCCACCTCGGCTTTCGATGACCCTTTCCAGAGGCCCATCGGAACTTGAGATCGCCCCGAGCGGGCCCTAAGGGGGGTTCAGCCCCAAGAGGACTTCAGAGAGACTGCAGCAAAGCACTCAAATCTGAGGCCAACTCAATATTGATTTCACACATACAGCCGAATGATCCAACCAGGACCCCACAGACTCCAAGAGGCCCCAAACGAGCCCCGAAGGGGCCCGAACAAGCTTCGAAAAGAGCGCAGGAGGCTTCTCCAACCTTCACAACAGCTCAGCCTGACACTGCTATTGACCCGTGGCTCGTGCCATGGACGGTCACCGCGCCAGACTGCCAGCCACCTCCACTTCACAGGTGAGAGGGGAAGTGTTGCGGTGTGGGGTAGGGGGAGAGTGAGCGCCCCGGCAAGGACTGGAAGGACTTTTGAGAGGAGTTGGGTGAGGAGTAAGTGCCCTAGCCGCTAGCCCATAGGCCGCGCTGGATGACTGGGGAGCTTTTTTCCGACGGGTCGACCACGTTGCATTTCCGTGTAAGCACGCCCCGTGCGCGGAGCGGCGGAATCCTCTGTTGGGGGCTAGTTGGGTATCTGCTGCATGAGGTGATCACGTACAACTCGGTGATCCGAGGCTGCGTGGAGATGGGCGAGTTGAAGAAGGCAGCGCCGTCACAGGAGAAGGCGAGGAGCATGGAGAACCGATGCTGTTCCCCGACAGGCATCGCTTTGCGCTTGCGGCGTTGGGTTAGTAGCCAGAGATGTCATGGTGCCTATGTGATTCAGCCGTGCTGCGTGGTGAAAGACTGACACTGGCGCGGGCGTTCGGCTTGTGGACTCGGAAGCCACGGCCCTTGGATGACCCCGCGGGTTGTCCCGTGGCTCTCCCGTGGGATGTCCTGCGGGTTGTCCCGTAGTTGACCGATTTGTGTTTTCCAGAGGATTTTCCCGTGGTTGTCATGTGGTTGGCCCGTGGGTTATCCCGTGGGTCGCCCCGTGGTTGTCGTGGGTTGTACTTGGTTGTCCCGTAGTCGTCCCGTGTGTTGTACCGTGGTTGTCTCGTGGGTTACCCCGTGACTCTTCACATATCATGACATCTACCTACGTATGTGTATGTATGCCTATGTGTACACGCAGGTGTTTAGTCATAGCAGTAGATATACACATACATGTGTATATAATATAAAAATGTACATACTACATACACATATAATGAATACCGTCCCCCTGCCAACATGCGTTCCGTTAGTGGATACACGATCGAGTCTTCCGATGTTCGTTCATGGTTTAGACATTATATGTTGAATGTTAAGTATGGTTCGGTCTGGTATGGTTGCACTGTACTTGGCTCTACCCGCTTTTTTTTCTAACTCTACTCCGTCCTACTTTTGATCGACGCGATTCTACTCTATTTAGTTTTATTCGACCTTACCCTATCCTACTCAAACGCTCACTTATTCAAGGCGCTTTGGTCCAAGTTAGACAGCATGCTCGCGCGTGGCTCTTGTAGCCAGTTCTGAGCACACGGTGCCCTCCGTCTCCAACATAAGACCCATTATTCCGCGGCGCCCTCCCCACGTGCAATTTGAATTTGTTCGTCTACTCCGAACCCCTTGTCTCCAACGCCACACCAACTACTCCACATTCTCCGTCTCCCACAATCCCCTAAACTCCACAGCAGCCCACCCACGTGCAACTCGAAAGTAGTAGATTACTCTGCCGTCTGCGTGTCCAGCAAGAGGTGTTCCACCGCACCCTCCTCCAGTGCAACTCGAAGTATTACTAGACTCTCGACACAACGCCAGGTATTCCACAGCGTCCGCGCCAAACACAACACACAGTTCCACAGTACCCTTCCCCAGTGGAATGAACGTGTTATTCCAATTCCCAGCCTCCTGTCTTAAATACAACACCCAGTACTCCGCACCCTCCGTCTCCAACATAACACCCAGTAGTTAACAGTACCCTCCCCAAGCGCAAGTCGCACTTGAAAGTATCATTCCGCTTCACAACCCCCTGTCTCCAACACAGCACCCAGTATTTCACACCTTCTGCATGCGCAAGTCGCGTCAACCGCGAACCCATCTGGATTATTCCAGGACGCGAGGGTTTGTTTTGTTTTGTGGATGCGGGGGCGTAACTATCTATATCTACATATATTACGAGGGTTTTCGTAATCATCTTGCATACTAGAAGTTCTCATGTGCATAATACATACGCGTGCAATTTGATTTGCATGCCCTTCTACGGCGATCCGCGCATGAACGTAGAAGTGGATAGTTTGATGCGTTATCATGTTAATGTCGCCGTGCAGCACGTACAGGTGGCAAGACACTTCAGCTGCACAAATATTCAGATCGATTTACATCGAATGCACATCGGCCTGAACTTGAAATACACATCGGCACACACATCGATATTCACACATGGTTGTACATCGAATCGCAAATCAACGTGGTAATCGAACCTCGAACCCCGAATCAGATCCAGCCGCAACCAAGATTCGAAATTTTATATGTACGCTAAGAGCCTCTTCTGTGACCCACCTTTTAAACAGTTTTCCAGATGCGTTTCCTTTCTCAGTACAGTCATGTTGCTTGTCTTCTGGACCGCTTGTCTGTTGCCACAATCATTATCTGGATGGTCGTCCTCGTTTCGACGTGATCGTGTTGCTTTCCTTGTCCGCTCGTGGTGGATCGCAGGAGTGGTCTGAGCATACGGACCACCACAGGGTGCCCAAGTTTCTTTTGTGGCGGATTACAAAAGGATGGCTTGTGTGGCGGATTACAGAAGGATGTCTGCTGAGGCACATTCTGGACGGATTCATCATCGAGGCTGGTCAGAAAATGAATTGTACAGCAGTCGAGGAATCTTATTGTACAGATTTACATGTTGATTTCTAGTGCGCGGCCATAGAACGGTTTCCATCTGCAGGGTACTGCAGAAATCCTTTTTTCCTGAAACAGCTTGCTGAACGGGGTGCTGCTGTGATAGAAGCTAACTCCGGCCGAGGGAAATCAAAGCAGAGACGTCCTCAACAAAGTTTGGTGGTCCGGGCCGTTTCGCCTGAGACATCCTCGCTACTCTCGTTTCTGAGTTGTCCGGGATTGGGCGTTTCGCGTGAGACATCCTCCAAACTCTGAGTTCCCAGATGCCGCGCAAGAGGTGGTCCGGCCCGTTTCGCCTGAGACATCCTCGCAACTCTGAGCTCTGAGATGCCGCGCGAGAGGTGGTCCAGCCCGTTTCGCCTGAGACATCTTCGCAACTCTGAGTTCCCAGATGCCGCGCGAGAGGTGGTCCGGCCCGTATCGCCTAAGACATCCTCCAAACTCTGAGCTCTGAGATGCCGTGCGCGAGGTGGTCCAGCGCGTTTCGCCTGAGACAGTCTCGCAATTCTGCGCTCTGAGATGCCGCGCGAGAGGTGGTCCAGCCCATTTCGCCTGAGACATCCTCAAAATTCTGGGCTCCGAGATGCCGCGCAAGAGGTGGTCTGGCCCGTTTCGCCTGAGACATCCTCCAAACTCTGAGCCCTGATATGCCGTGCGCGAGGTGGTCCGGCCCGTTTTGCGTAAGACATCCTCGCAATTCCGCGCTCTCTGATGCCGCGCGAGAGGTGGTCCGGCCCGTTTCGCTTAAGACATCCTCTAAAGTCTGAGCCCCGAGCTGCCGCCAAAGAGGTGGTCTGGCCCGTTTCACTTCAGACATCCTCGCACTTTGCATTCCGAGATGCCGCGCGAGAGGTGGTCCAGCCAATTTCGCTGGGACATCCTCGCAACTCTGAGCTCTGAGCTGCCGCGCAAGAGGTGGTCCAGCCCATTTCGCTTGAGACATCCTCGCAACTGTGACCTCGGAGATGCCGCGCGCGACGTGGTCCAGCCCGTTTTGCTTGAGACATCCTCGCAATTCTGAGCTCTGAGATGCCCTGCGCGAGGTGGTCCGGCCCGTCTCGCCTGAGACATCCTCGCAATTCTGAGCTCTGAGATGCCGTGCGCAAGGTGGTCCGGCTTGTTTCGCACTAGACATTCTCGCAATTCTGAGCTCCCAGATGCCGCGCAAGAGGTGGTCCAGCCTGGAGGCCCAGAAGACTACATCTTACATATCTTCCCTGGGACCCTGGGAGCCCCAGGAGGCGCCAGAGAGCTCCAGGGGGCCGCAGGACGCCCAGGACAGGACCCAGGCGTCCCCAGGAAATTCCCAGGAGGCCCCGGGAGGCCCTCTATCAGAACGTGTCAAGTTAATATACATCTGGTGCCGATTCGTTGATTTTTCCTGCTCTTGTGCCCCCCCCCCCCCCCAGTTGAGGGGCCCAAACGGCCGCATGTTAGATATCCCCCCCTGGGAGCCCCAAGAGGCTTCAGGAAGCCCCAGGTGGAGTCCAGGAGGCCACAGGAGGCCCCAGGAGGCCCCCGCAACTCGGAGCTCTTGGACACCGCGCTCGAGGTGGTCCGGCCCGTTTCGCCTGAGACTTCCTCGCAGCACGTTTCGCGCGAGACATCGTCGCAACTCTGGGGTCCGAGATGCCGTGCGCGAGGTGGTCCAGCCCGTCACGCTGGAGACATCCTCGCAACTCAGAGCTCCGAGATGCCGTTCGGGATGAAGAGGAGGTGGAGGAGGAGGAGGAGGAGGAGGAGAAGTTGATGGAAGGAAGAAGGAGAGGAGGATGATTCGGATGAGGGAGCAGGCAGAAGGAGGGGGAGGGGGAGGAGGAGGAGGAGGAGGAGGAGGAGGAGGAAGAAGGAAGGGAGTTGCAGGAGAGGACGTAACGGGAAGCGAGTGTGACGTGGACTTGTCAGAACGTGTGCGAGAGGTTGTCCAGCCCATTTCGTTTGAGACTTCCTTGCAATACTGAGCTCCAAGATGTCGCTCGCGAGGTGGTCCGGCCCGTTTCGCTTGAGCCAACCTCGCAATGCGAAGCTCGAATATGTTGCGCGCGAGATGGTCTGGCCCGTTCTCCCTGAGACGTTTCGTAGCACAGGGGCTCCAATCACAACCTCCATCATTCCTTCTCCCGCCGCCCTCTTCCCGCTTCCCGCCTGGCTCCTCTTCCCTCCTCCCGCCTCCCGCCTCCCGCTGCTGCACCTCTGCCTCCGCCTCCCCGTCCCCGCCGTCGTCGTTTCTGCCGCTTCAGCATCCGTCATGTGCGCCCTGGTTTCCGCCCTCCCCAGACATCCGACGTCACGATTTTTCTTTTGAGACGTGCGCCGCGTACCTCTCGATATCATCCCCGGGGGAACCATCGCGACATGCCCCCCCGCTTCCGCGCCCTCCCCCGCTTCCTGTTACAGTGAGAGTTGCGCCCTCCCCCGCTGCCTCTCACAGTGCCGACCCGACAGTTCACTCGTCGACCATGTGCGAGAGAGTACGACACCCTCTAGCGTTAGCTTCCTGATAGACATGCGTCACACAAGTTGCCGGGTAAACGTCTCATGTGCAAGCATTAGGTTATCATGTTCTAACATGCCGTGCCAGCCCGCACTGGACGGGCAATAATTGACTTTGGAAACCGCAGTGGGTTTTAAAACCGTGTTTGGGGATATTGCAATCCGGCTATACTTTTGCTGGCTTACGCATTGATTCCTAGAGTGCGGCTTTCAAATGGAATCCAAATATTCTTGGCTCTGGCGGAGAGGGGGGCCTGGCCGACGAAAAGACAAACATACAGACAAGACAATCAACCAATCTGGGCGACCAAAACGCTACGCTGTTTTATTGCTTGGCTGTATTAATATGTCAGCCAAAAAACATTCAAACGACCATATCGAAGCGACAAACACGTCTGACCTCTCCGTAGCTACGCCTATGCAAATGGAGCCATTGTGTGCGACCATCAAGTGGAATCTCACAATTGGGTATCACATATTTAGTTTCATTATGCAGGAGACAGTCAGAACCATGTTGTACCAACATACACATTGCTTGTCAGTGAACCGCCTTCGGATTGACGCCATTTGTGGGACCTTACTAGGTAATTGCTACCGTGTAGGAAACAGCTGGAATAATGAACAATTTATTATTGTTGGACGGCCTACGACCCGATGTTTGTGTGCGCGGGCCTGATTCTTGTCGCTGAAGTGTACACAGTGATTCCACCCGCGGAGGATGTGATTCAAATCCGATTGCGCACACATGCGCTTCGATTCCTATCGTACGGCGTTCGAAGGCGATTCCTTTTTGTGGGGATTTGTATTGTGTAGCAAAAATTGAGACGGTTATACATTGACTTCTATTATGCGGTCATCAAATTGGGACCCTTTTTTGGGATAGTTCAGAAGGGTTCTTATTGTGTGGGGACAGTTGGATCCTTTTGTGCAGACTGACAAGTTGTTTCCACATGGTCGGCCTGCAAATGGAGTGTTTTCGTGCTTCGCTCGGAGGGAGTGGGCGGGCTTGACCGACGAAACGAACACAAACAGACAACATTGACACGCAAGACAATATGGAGGACCGGAAACGATGTGTTTTTATGCGCGAGTTGGTTTTTCATCGTAAACCAACAGACACCGACAAAAACATGTTGAAGCAACGTGAACTTGTGTTCACACAGTGTTTGGTCATTCACAAGATTCCGATTGTGTGGCCATCAAATGTAAACCCACTGGGCTACTACTAATCACTTCCTACTGTGCATCGGAGCAGTATAATTTATTGTACAGACTTACGCATTGATTCCTATTGTGCGGGCTCCAAATCGATTTTGTGTTGGGCACCACAAATTCATTCTTTGACTGTCGGAAGCAATTGGATTCGTTTAGCTGATTGTGTCCTACACACTATGAACCCTTGTGCAACACCCACAGAAAGGTCTCTAGTTGATGGCCGCACAATACGAATGAATTCCGAATGCTCAAACACTGCCAAATCACATGTGTTTTTTGTTTCAAGTTTGTCTTTCTTTCTGTTGGCTTACAAGTAAACTCGCACCCACAAATCAAACCATCGTTGTTGGTCCCCCTGCTTTGTTTTTGTTGTCGTATTTTGACTGTTTCGCCGGCCTGGCCCACCCCATGTTCTCCCGAACCCGGCACAACGGAATTCCAATCTAAAGGTACCAAAGAGGAATACATGTGGAAGTTTGCACGAAAGGATTTTCCTTGTTTCCGATTCATAGGAATCAATTTGTAGTGCCCCATCATTTTATTCCATTTGAAGGCCGCACAATGGAAACCAATCGGTAAATGCCTGAGCAAAGTGAAAACACAGGTTCTCTTTGCTTCCAGTTTTTGTTATTGCGCTGTTGCTGGATTCGCAATGACAAGCCAATTCACAAATAAAACAAATGGTTTGCTGGTCCCCCAGACTTTTTGTTTGTCTCGTTTGTCTTTGTTTTTGTTCGTCGGCCAGACCCCACCCCTTTCTCTCCCTGAGCCAGGCACACAGGGAGTTCATGTGAAGACCGCACACAAGAACCAAATGTAAGTTGTTACAGAAGGATTTCAATTGCCCCGTAGACAAATACGAATCAATGTGTAGTCATCCACAAAGGGATGTCATTTGAAGGCCGCACAATAGGACTCAGTTCATAGGTATGGTCTGTTTCCAAGTTGTTGTTTTGTTGTTTGTGGCCCCCCATGAAACTCCCCCATGAAAGCGCACCGGTTTTGATCACCCAGATTGTTGTTCTGCCTTTGTAGCCCCCCCCCCTGCTCCCCCCCGAGCCGGGCACACATGGGATTCCATTCGAATGCCGGGCTCTAGGAATCAATTTGTAATGGCGTACCACAAGGATTTCAATTGTCTCCTACACAAGAGGAGTCCATTTGTTGATTCCCACGAGGGGATTCCCTTTGAAGGCCGCACAGAAGGAATAACTTATAAATCCGTAAGGGCTTCGCCCCATGCCGCCGGCCCCCTGTCTCGGATAATGGGAGATGCAAAAGCTAAATCATGAGGTTTGGGCGCCGCCGTGAAGGAGAGTGTTGGGACCTGTTTGTTTTTCGACCCTGACCCTATGGATCTGCGTCACGGGTGCCACCGGATTTCAGAAATGTTGCAAATCCCACATGTTTTTGGAGCCTGACCCTACGGACCTCATGAGGGGTGCCGGAAATGTGGCAAATCCCTTGTGTTTTTGGACCCTGACCCTGCCGATCTACGTGAGGGGTGCCACCGAATGTCAGAAATGTGGCAAATCCTATGTGTTTTTGGACCCTGACCCTGCCGATCTGCGTGAGGGGTGCCACCGAATGTCAGAAATGTGGCAAATCCCATGTGTTTTTGAACCCTGACCCAGCCGATCTGCGTGAGGGGTGCCACCGAATTTAAGAAATTGTTTGCAAATCCCTTAAGTTGTTGACCCCTGACCCCGCCGATCTGCGTGAGGGGCGCCACCGAAATTCAAACATGTAGCAAATCCCTTGTGTTCTTCACCCTGACCCCGCCGATCTGCGTGAGGGGTGCCACCGAATGTTAGACATGTAGCAAATCCCATGTGTTTTTGGACCCTGACCCCGCCGATCTGCGTGAGGGGTGCCACCGAATGTCAGAACTGTGGCACATCCGTTGTGTTTTTGGACCCTGACCCCGCCGATCTGCGTGAGGGGTGCAACCGAATTTCAGAAATGTGGCAAATCCCATGTGTTGTTGAACCCTGACCCGCCGATCTGCGTGAGGGCTGTAAATTTTTACCCACCCCAGCATTTCAGACAGCACGCTCAGGGTGTGGTAAAAATACCCGTTTGGGGCCTCCCCCCCTCGCGCGGTCCATCAACGAGGAACAGTAAGCAGCAAACAAGGAACGGTAAGCAGCAAGAAACACAGAACTGTAACAGTGGAAGCTGGAAGCTGCAACTGGCACAGGAAACTGCGAACCTTAGGCCTACAGCCTGGTGGCCTACAAGGGGGCCGGCGGATCTGCACAAAACAAAGATCTCATTTGACACCATCACAATGTGAATTAGGTTGTAAGTCCGCTTGAGAGGGTGTTCGTCGTATTCTACAAATCAGGAGTTGACATAAGTATATCGGGTTTACGTTGGATGTTGTGCAGGAAATCATGTTGTGCGCAAGCGGATGGCGTTCACATGTCGTCGGACCAAAAATGAAGAAATCTTGATAACAGGAGGGGCTCTTACCATACCTACAAACACACTTACACGTTCAATTCCTATTTAAATCGAGTTGCAATCGGGGAACACATCAAACAAGATATCGCATTACGAGCCGACAATTATCACCACATTACAGTCACAGCGTAAGTCGTAGCGCAACGGGAAGTGCACACCCAATTGAATTCGCAAAGCAAGCTGACAAGAAATTGCCATTCCCTCCGCAATATCCTCATTGCCCGAAATGGGGTCTGAGGTCTGACAGGTGTAGTGACATACCTTTCCATGTACTCGCTTACTTGTGTTTTCAGCCGCTTATTCCCACTGTCTGCAACTTGACGCGCATGCTGGGTTCCATTTCCCACGGGGAGAGCACGAGACAACCCGCGACACGACCGCAGGACAACCACGGAACAACCATGTGACGCCGTAGGGACAACCATTGGACAAATCATGGCAGGACCATCTTAGGGCATGTGTTAAAGGTGGAGTCCCTAAAGGACGTTCCAAGGGCTTCGGGAAAAGGTTATTCGACGAGCCCTGGCGTCCGCAATTCATTAGACAATTCTTTTAGTATCTCTTTGAGTTGTAGGTTTGGGCCCTTTGCAGGACATACAGCTGCCTCACTTGAAAACTAAAGGGTCGGGAGAGCATTCCACTCAGCGCCTACGGCGCAGGGGCAGCTTCAATATTGGGAATTATGGGGCCTCAAGACACTCCATTCAGTGCCTACGGTACGGTAGCGGATATCGGATTGGCGCCTCCTTGTTTTCCATGTCGAAGTTTCCAGGAGGGGGGCTTTGAGAGGCCTCACGCTGTTTCACTTATTCTAGGTATGCATTCCTCTTGGACCTGTTTTGAGCCATCTGGCGACCCGAAGCGAACAAGCTCGGAACAGTGCAGCATGTTGCACGACCTCTGCGTAGACACTGCTCGCCTCTGACTCCCCAGCGGAGATCGTGCCTCGACGGATCCCGATCCCTGGACCTCCGCGCGGAGCTCTCTCGTGTGGCCTGAGTGGGGCCAGGGGCAGTCGGAGTCGAGCCCAGACCAAAATGAGCAGACGCAGACGACGACGCGCAGATGTCGTGCCGCCCCGCACCGAGCGTTCGCAGGCTGTGAAGGTCCGCGAGGCGCTCGTCGCGGACGGGCTGATGCCCGACACCGCCTGCTATGATGCCACGCTGAAAGGATATGCCAGGCGCTATCCTGCCATCCCCGTTTCCTCGTCGAATCCCCTCGAGTCGTGAACAAACTTACCAAGGACGCTTTGGGGATGGTTTCGGCCTCCTGGGGCGCTCACCTGGCTTCGGGGCCGCCAGAAAACTAGTCGGGATGCAAAGTTGGCACCAGGGAAGAAGTCGAGGCTTTCGGGGGCCCACGGCGTCACCAACCACGACGTCGGAACTTTCGGTTCCCCCCTCCCTCCTCCCCGACAAACCCCTGAGCCTCCTTCTCCTCCTCCTCCTCCTCCTCCTCCTCCTCCTCCTCCTCCTTCTCTTACTCTGTCCCGTGGGACGGCCGATATCGTGGCGCGCCATTTCCAGTTCCGTCTCTTCCACCTCCTCCTCCTCCTCCTCCTCTTTTCCCCCTTTCAGGGTTGGGATGCTTCCATGAAGATCCTCACCACCTGGCCCCCGTGGCATGTCCTCCCAGCCCCTCATCTCGCCTCCTCCCTGCTTCGCCTCCTGCTCCGTGCTTCCAACCTGCCTTCTCTGCTTTCGGTTGCAGAGCCCAGGAGGCTGTCTCAATCGTCGGCCTCGGCACCTCCTTTGGTGCCTGTCCGACTCGGCGCGGCCTGGTCCGACTTGGCCTGGGATGGCCCAGGGGCCCAGTCTGGCTGAAGAGATCTGTCATCCAGCTTGACATGTGGTACGGGCTGGTTCGGTACAGTCAACCCGCATAGTAAGGATGGGCGGCCTTCCCAAGGGTACCCTTACATCCTCGCCTCCTCGGTCCATCCTCCGCCGCTGTCGCTGGCCGTGCCCCGCTCGACAAAGCTTCGAGGTGGGCGTCCAAGGCCCTTGTATCCTTATCGCGCATCCTTACTATACTGGTTGACTGTAGGTCTTCACCGTGCCAGCAGAGACGTCACAGGAGCTCAATCCTGACCTGTTCCACCTCCCCTCGTCGTCCTCCTGCGGCCCCCACTGCTCGTGCTGCCCTCGGCAGCCAAGCTCTTCTTCGGTGGGGTGTCTCTCCTCCTCCTCCTCCTCCTCCTCCTCCTCCTCCTCCTCCTCCTCCTGCCTGTCCTACTCCTCTCTCTCTCTCTCTCTCTCTCTCTCTCCCCTCCTTCGTTATGATTCGTCTCTGCCGTTGCTGTGGAGTTGCTGGGGTGTGCGGTTTTCCAGCTTGCGAAGCGATATGTTCAGCTTGTTTACTGCCGCGCTGGGGAATTCCAGCACTTGGATCGGGAGCGGCCTGGCTGGACTTGCCTCCCCCCCCGCGTCCTCTGCGCCGCCGCGCCTGGCTGCCGCAGTGTCCCTCTCGTCTTCCCGGCGTCTCCGAGAGAATGTGTAGATTTTGCACGTACAGCCTCCTCCTCCTCCTCCTCCTCCTCCTCCTCCCCCCTCCCCCTCGCCCTCCTCCTCCTCCTCCTCCTCCTCCTCCTCCTCCTCAGGCCTCTCGATCTTGTGCTGCAGTCGGGGAGTCCCCAAGCTGCTTGCCTAAGGGAGGGGGGTCCCTGGAGCTTGCCAACGGCGGGGCCACGGTGCGTTCCAGAGGCCCTGCGGCCACCGCTCGCTCGAGCGACTCGAGACATTGGCCGTGCACAGATCGCGAGCGAGCGAGCCTCCTGCTCCTCCTGCTGTCCTCCCCAGCACACCCTTCGCGAAGCCCCCTCCCCGAAGCGGCGCTCGCCGAGGCGAGGTCGCCTTTGTTGCACCTGCTGCTCGGTGCATTTTGCTCACGGCATTTCCCACAGATGCTGTAAGGGGCCGCCTGTTTGGCTGCTGTGGGGGTCAACAAACAAATCCCTTGCACACCCTCCCGTGCATCCAGGGCCCTTTTTCCCCTCTTCCAAATCAGGCTCAACCTCTTCCTCCTCCTCCTCCTCGCCTCCTCCTCCTCCTTCTCGTCCTTCTCATCCTTCCCTCCTCCTCGTCCGTCGCTGCTCCTCCGTACCACGTTTGGTGCAAGGTCCGTACGTGGAGGCTCTGGGACCGAGAGTGTGTGCGATGGGGAGAGACGGCCCCGACAGTTCACCTTCAGATCTTCGGACAGAGCATCGGGGTTCCATCCCCAATCCCTTGGCGAGCAACTGCCTTCAACAGATGTCGAGGAGTCAAGTCGAACTCTTGGACTTGCGAAGACGGCGCACGTTTCCGGAACAGTGATGTTGTCTCTGGTTACCTCCCTCGTCAGGCCGGTCGTGTTCAGCACGATCAGTGGTCGGATCCCCGCCAGGAACAAGTCGAGCGACTCGCCGCCTTGTTGCCCAAGCCCGCCCGGCTGGCGGCCCAGGGGTTCCTCGAAGCCACGGGTGCCCCTCCGCCGAAGCACCCCGTTCAGCCAGGGCTAGAGCTGCATGCAGCAGGACAGCCAGACCGGCAGAGACCAGTAAACAGATGGACAAGTGCAGGTCGGCGAGGGTCTGCGACAAGCCAGAAAAAGAAAAAGCAGTCCTCGTCTCAGTTCGCCTTGCCCGCCTTCCCCTCCTCTCCTCTTCGTTCTCCTACCCATCCTCCTCTTCTCCGCTGCCTCCTCCTCCGCCTCCTCCTCCTCATTGCATCCTCCTTCTGCTCCTGCTGTTCCTCCTCCTCCTCCTTGTCCGGCTCGTCTTCTTATCGTGCCTCCTCCGAACTCTCGCCCTCCTGCCCTTCCTTAGAGTTCGGCCACCTTGACCTCTCCAGGGGTGTGTTGAGAAGAATTTCGAAGGGACTCCACCAGTGGCGATGAGAAGCCTCCCAGACGTCCTAAACAGGCCAGCAACATAAAGGTGTTGTCTCACGCTTCCCCCAGCTGACAGGTTGGGGCTGTTATATGTGAAGAACAGACCTCACGGCCCGCCCACACTGCATACCGCGGACGCCAGACCCCCAGGTTCACCGAACATTCCCCGAGACTTGGCATCGCTCGGACGTGTGCATTTTTCCTTCGGCGCGGACCATCGAGGAGCATCCTTGATCATTTGGCGAAAAAACCACGCACGAAACTGAACAAAGCACAGGGAATGGACGTCCGAGCAATGGCCAGGAGACCTCGCGCCGACCCGCCCACTCTGCATGCCGCGGCCGCCAGATCCCCAGGTCCACCGAAAATCCCCCGAGACCCCCGCCTTACCCTTTCGACGCACACGACAGAACTTGACAAAGTGAGCTTAACACCACACATCCTAACATAGCAGAACAGAGCACAGCACGACATGACATGACATAGCATATATGATCACAGGTGTACAATCAACAACAGAACAGGGCGCCATAAAGCACAGCATACCATACCATATCATTGCATAGCAAGGCAAAGCATACCTTGGCAGAGTGCGGATGACTTAACATATGTTGCAATGACAGACCACATCATAGTGTAATAAAATACAGCCGCGGACCATCACATGCCATGGCTTAACACAGTCTGCCATTGCACAGCAGTGCAACGCATGCAATGACAGAGCGGAGCCAGTATAACATATCATAGCATCACACTCAATACTGAATCATACCATTACAGATCACAACATGACGTATGTTTGCGCAACGATACATGTCAAAATGCATTATCACATAACGGTTCGTTACATAATTTAACAACGCAGACCATGACAGAGCGAGGCACAACATACCATACAGCAGCAGCGCGTTACATATCATAGTGGAATTACAGAGCATATAAGCACACAGTACGGAATAACAGCCCATGACACAACAACGTTGAGGATACAGGACAACGCAGACGCATGCCGACCAGTTCGTAGCCTAACACAGCATCGCAGCGCCGTCCAACCCATGGCTAAGCATAACATGACAGAGTAAATCATACCATATCATTAGACAGCAAGCCGCAACTTAACAGAACATAGCATACTAGTGCAGGTCTTGACGGAACGGAGCATGACAGACCGCAGCACCGAGTATAGCGTATCATTGCAACGGTTACAAAGACATAGCGGAGCATCGAAGCGCACAGCATAACGTATCTTCTCATAACATACCAGGAGTGTGTTGTTATTGTTAGCAAGGCAGCACCGCATCTTCCATTATTCACGGAATGTTGCAGATTGCAGGGAAAGGGCATGACATAATACACCATAGCATCATATAATGAAGAGCGCACAACCTAATCAGCATAATTTATTTGAGTTGTTACATTATTGTTGCCACGACGGCACTGGGCTTGAGATGACATCATAGCCACTATTTGTATTTAAGGGGGGCCTGTCAGAATCATGCACATCATAATATACGATAGCGAACTGATCATCGCGTAAGTAAGATCACTTGACAGAGCATCACACTATAAGCTGACATACCATATCATGTCATAACGTTGTGCACCAGGGCAAAGCATAACATACCACATCGAAGGATATTGAAACAGAGGTGAGCTTAGCAAGGCGCACTTCAACACAATGGAGAAGCATAAGTGATGAGGAGCAGCATGCAATAGTATACCGTCCTGCTACAGAATCAAGCGTGACATGGCCACACGAACCAACAGGCGCAGCAACGACCGATTTGACGACACGATGCATCTAACGTGACAGGCGTCACAGCGTCACGCCTGCCCGTCGAGAACAGGTCCCGGCATAATAGAGCATACCACAAGACAGCATTACCAAATGGAGCAATGAATATTTTGAAAGATAACAACGGCAGAACCGAAGACAAGTAGCACGACGGAACAGAACAGAGCAGAATAGATCAGAGAACATCGCAATGTACTAGACGGAGTTGATCATACCGTCGACAGCATCACTGAACACAGCATAACATGGCACAGTCTGGCAGAACATTCCATGTAATAAATTGGTGCCACAGGGAAAAACAATAGAGCATACCGAAGCATACATGAGCATAGCAGAGCAGACCTGAGCAGAAGAGAACCCATACGGGAAGAGGAACATCACGCTATCCTACACCGTAATATCATATACTCAAATGTGACGTGCGCGCCGAAGTCAGGCTGGACACACGAACCAACAGGCGCAGCAACGACCGATTGGAAGGCGTAGTTAGCGTGACAGGCGTCACGGCGCCACGCCTGCCCGTCGAGAATAGAACAGGGCATTCACAGTTTAGCATTTGATATATCGAACATCGTAGAATAGAGTTGCATGTGGCAGCGACAGTTCTCAATATAATTATTGCGACAGAACGTAACCTAACATAACAGAGCAAACTTCGATATACCTTGACGAACTGATCATAACGGCAAGAGCTCCACTGAACGTATCACATGTATTGGCAGAACAGATCATGCCATTTCACGGCGCCACAGTTGAACAACACATCGCATAACAGATCAGACTGACATATGGAAGCCCAACAGAGCATACTTTGACAGGAGGGAGAACACATGAGTGAGGAGGAGATCCTGCTCCTCCTCCTGCAGCTGCTCCTCCTCCTGTATCGGCAGGCTGCAGACTCTCTCTGGACGAGTTTTGGGGTTCTCGCACCACCAGGAGGCCACAATGGGGCCAAAACCGTAGTGAAACCAATGACTGCGGCTTGCTCGCCGAGGCCGCGTTGGCATTCTCGCCGAGGCCTCGTGGAGCATATTTGGGTGCCTCCGGGGGGGTCTCTTGGGGGCATCTTGGGGGCCTCTTGGGGGCATCCTGGGGGCTCTTGGGGGGCTCTTGGGGCCGTCTGGAGAGGATGTTTGTTTCGCCCCGGGGACTTTGCTTCGAGTTCTTTCGTCCGGGTCTCCGGCGTTGCGGCCCTGCCCGACCGCTGCGCCGGCTGAGACCACCGGGCCCCGGTGCGCACCGTTCCAGCAGGGCCGGACCTCCACGGTGCTTCGGCGATTTCGCGGGCCGTGTTCGTTCTGACGTCGTTTTGCGGTAAGGGCGGAGTGAAGACCAAACGAGGGAGAACGAACACAACACGAAAACGAACAACACCGATCGGGTTCAGCCCAGCGTTCCAGTAGGCACGCGCACCGTTGGGAGCACACGCCCGAAGTTCCGTTCCGGGGGGCGATCGCGAGCTAGAAGCAAGCTAGTGGCGTGAGGGTTTCGCCCTTTGCCGCCGCCCCTCTCTGTACAAGGATGGGGCATGCCAGAGTATGTTGGGGCGCTTGGGCGCCGACTTGACACATGATCGGAAACCCACGCGAGGACGGCTGGCAGTCGTGACGTCATGTGCAAGGGGTCATAGCCGCGGGGGCCAGAGCCTGACGTCATTGTCTTCGAATGGTCGCATGGGGGGGCGCGCATCTGGCGTAGCGTACGAAGACTCTGGCTTCGGCGGCGCGAACCTGAAGGAATTGGTCATGTAGTCTGGCCTCGCGGGAGCAAGAATCTGGTGTAATGTACTACGGATTCTGGCCTCGGGAACGCGACCCTGGGGTCATTTACGACAAAGGGCTCTGGCCTCGGGATCGCGAGCATGGCGCAATTATCATATGATTCTGGCCTCGGGATTGCGAAACTAGGAAAATCTGCCAGGGATTATGGCCTCCGTAGCGCGAACTTGGCGTAATGCATTCTGGCCTCGGGAGCGCAAATTTGGTGTAGCTTATACGTGCATTTGCATGTCCCAGGCCCTCCCCCGAAATTTAGAGCACGCGGCTCGGGCGTGGTAACCATGTGGTGTTCGACTCCCACACTCCTCACGCGGACAGCAACAGTTTAGAGTAGCAAGCAGGAAGTGGCAGTAGACATTGGAAGCTGGAAACTTGCACTGGCGCAGGAAACTGGACCCTTCACGGAGATTGATGGCCTCACAAGGGGGCCGGCGGAGTTGCAATTCGATTTCCTGACAGTGCCGATTGATGTGTGAGAGGTGTCTGGGGGGCTGCCCATCGTGCAACCCCCTCCCACCCTCAACCCTGCGTCGCTCTCTTCACGGCCCCGGGGCCTGGTGTTGGCTCCCAGAGGCCGAAAGTGGCAGCACGAGTCTTCCCGTCGTGAGGCTTTCACGACGCGAGGGGGGTCCTGGGCGCCCCTCCTCCTGCGACAGCGGCTCGCGGGCGCTCTGTCTCCCCCAACCCCCGAGCTCCGCCGGAATAGTGTGGCCGCTCGGAAGAAGGGGGGGACTTCTGGGATACACCCTCAGTGGGCCCCGGAAACGGCAGGGCCGTTTTTCACCGTTTCCGAGAAACTGTCCCTTGAAAATGGAAACGGCAACAAAACGGCGACGGGAAACGGCACAAAAACGGCTCCAGGATTGGAGCCGGAGCCGGCACCGGTCGAACAACGGCGACGGAACTGGGAAAGAAACGGCGTCGGCACCGGCAAGGGAACGGCAGAACGGAACCGGTAACAAAAACGGCCTGGTCGCTCCCAGGGCCCACGAAGGATACACCCCAGAGCCGGAGGCCTGGAAATGGGCACCAACACCAACACAGGGGGTTGCCTCCACAGGGGGAAGATGATCCTAGATTTCGGTGTTGGTGGCAATATTTCGGCCACCTTGGAAGCCAGAATATTACCACCATCACCGAGATCGGGATCTTCTTCCCTCGATGGAGGCACACCGCCGATATTGGTGCTGGTGTCAACCTCTAGGCCTGCGACAGAGGGGGCCGTTCGGACGCGGCCCCGTCGAGGGTGGGCGCCCCCCTCATCGTGTAGCCTCGGCGTTGGGCCCCGCCTTGCTGGCGCATTCGGACGAGCACCCCGCGGAGCGCCTGGGACAGAGGGCGACGCGCCCCCCTTGCCGCCCGCCTCCTGCGACGGCGGCGCCGAGCCTCCAGGCAGGCCGTGCGCCCTCCCCCCGCCGCGGCCGCAGGTTCGGGCTGTGGGAGCAGGCCCTGGCGGAGTTCCAGGAGATGAAGGCGCCTCGGGGGCCCCCGGGGCCCGCTCGGAGGTGGGGCGAGGGAGGGAGGGAAGGGCCCGGCCCCCCTCGCGTCGCGCGGAGTCGCGGCGGGAGGCGTTGTGCTATCCTCTGCAGCTCGGGCCCTTGAGGGGCGTCGTGGCTTTCGGACAGCGGCTCAGGCTGAAGATCCTTTCCCCGGGACTGGGTCGAGGCCCCTGTGGGTGGACGCCGTGGAGTAATCGCAACGCTGGAGGTCTCTGGGGATGGTGGTGGAGGAGGAGGAGGACGGGAGCAAGGAGCAGGAGGATGACGAGCGGAAGGAGGGGCAGCAGGGGGAAGGATGGAGGAGGAGGAGGAGGAGGAGGAGGAGGAGGAGGAGGAGGAGAAGGGTGAAGAGGAGGAGGAGGAGGAGGAGGAGGAGGAGGAGGTAGGAGGAGGAGGAAGGAGGAGGAGGGGGGGAGGAAGGGGAGGAGGAGAGGGGGAGGAAGGGGAGGAGGAGGAGGAGGAGGAGGAGGAGGAGGAGGAGGGCCAGGTACATACAGGACGCGGCATCGATGTTGCGACCGCAGCTGTGTTTGATTCTACAGGCTTACGCCACATCCGCCGACCCCTTCTGTGACTGTTGCGAGACCAGGAGTTTCTGGCCAGCGGCGTCTTGTGTGAGGGTGCGGTGTCGCGCGCGGGTGGTGGCAGATACGTAGGGGGTCCAAATGTTTGCTGTGATCAGCGAAGCATCACCGCGAAAGATGTGGCAGATGAGTCGAAACGGGTGAAGAGGCTGTTGACGTTCGCAGCGCGCACGAAACAGTTCGCGTAGCAGCAGCACATTCGCGCCGAGCAAGATTGTGAGCACGTCGCGAGGAAGAGCAAGGCTGCATGCGCGGAGTGCATTGCAGTTGGCTTGACGGCTCGCAATGCGGAAGCGTTTGGGGGTCTTTTGGAGGCCTCCTGGGGGGCTCTTGGGGGCTCCTTGGGGCGTCTTGGCGGCCTCTTGGGGGCCTCTGGCGGCCTCTTGGGGCCCTCCTGGGACGCATCTTGGAGGCCTCTTGGGGCCTCTTGGGGCCGTCTTGGGCCGTCTGGAGGCGATCGTCGGTGTCTTTGATCGCTCTTCGACCGTCTGTGACCATATTGAGCTCGAAAGACCAGAAGAAGAATTATTTCAAGCGAAACAACCCAGTTGTGTGCGCGAAGTGTTTTAAAGCGGGACGAGCGCCGCGGAGAGACCCTCCGAAACGCCCGGCGGAACCAAGTGACGAGCATTGCGACAAGGCACGGAAGTTGCGAGGAATCTGACCGCTGGGGACGGGATGGATAAGGGGGACGTGGAGGAGGGAGGATGGGGGAGCAGCCAAAGGCGGAGAAGGTGAAAAGTGAGCCAGTGGAGGGAATACGAGACAGAAAGCTGAGAGGGGAGACGGGAGGAGGGGGCGGAAGAGGAGGATGAGAAGGAGCAGGAGAACACGACGAGGACGACAATGGCGGCGACAGACTCGACGGCGTAGGCTGGGCACCTTTTTGGGGCCATCTTGGGGGCTTCGTTGACCGTTGTGGGAGCCTCTGGCGCCGTCGTCGTGAGAATCCTCTCGGGGGCCTGCGGGAGGCAGTTTGGAGGCTTCTGGGGAGCTGTTTTGGGGCAGCTTGGGGCTTTTTTTGGGCTTGTTGGGGGCCTCTTGGGGGCTTCTTGGAGCCTCTTGGAGGCCTCTTGGGGCCTCCTTGGCGCCTTTTGGGGCGGAAGGCTAGAATTTTAGGTTCGTGGTCCCCGTCTGGAGCCTTTCTTGGGCCCCTCTGTGGGCCCTCTTGGACTGTCTGAAGGCCCTCTTGAGCCGTTTTGAGGCGCTCTTGGGCCGTGTTGGGGCCCACTTGGGAGCCTCTCGGGTCGTCTTGATGCCGTCTTGGGGGCTTCTTTCGCCGTCTTGGAGCGTCGGAAGCCCGAAAAAACGCGAAGGCCAAAAACGTTGAAAAAACCAATGGAAATCGACGATTTTGGCCTCTTGGGGCCATCTTGGGAGGCGTCTTGGAAGCTTCTTGGGGCGTCTTGGAGGCATCTGGGGCCATCTGGAGGCCATCTTGACCGTCTTCGAGTGTTTTTTCGGCGACTCGGGGCCCTCTTGGACCGTCTGCAGAGCTTCTTGGGAGCCTCTTCGCTCGTTTGCGGCCCCCCCAGCAGACTCTCTGGAGCGGATGACCCCCCCCGGACCGCGCCGGCGGATCCCGGGGAATCCGGCCGGACCCCCCCCCCCCCCCCTCCAAAACGACCGGACCAGGCTCCGGGGGGAGGGGTTTGGGGAGGGGGGAAGCATCTCACACGCCGATGACCCCAAGGGGTCGGCGGATCTTACTCGCGCGCTGTGCGCAAGCGCACTCTGGTAAAAATGCCCGCCCGCTCGCGAGCGCCTTGGGTCGGATATTGGCGGATCGGGCATATCCATGGCGAGCAGGAGTGTTGGCCCAGCTGTGTTGACCAACTTTGACCTGAGCAACATAGGAGGTCACATGGATAATAACATCGAGCATGTGCTGAATACCCTGTAACTGCGTTGGTCAGCCGCCAAAAAGCATGGTGATGACCACCATTCCGAAATTCGGCTTGGCCACGGGTCTGGTAACCGAAACGTACCAGCATCACAAGAACTACTAGGCAAGAAAGGTCATGAATGTGCCCCTCATCATGATCAGGGTCCCCCTCCCCCCGCCGCCCATCTAGCGGCCTCGAGCGAGGAGGGAGATAGGGATGATTTTTCCATCCCGATGATGGCACCCAGGCTCCAAACACAATGGCTGCAGGGCCTGCACGCCATCTACAAATGGGGAGGGCGGGAGAGGAGTACGCAGGAGGAGGAGGGCGACGACGACGACGACGAGAAGCGAAGAGAAGGGCCAGTCGTCAGTAGTACGAGGGAAGGTCTCAGGAGGCCCCAGGAAGCCCCAGGAGATCTCGCAGGAGGTGTCCGTGGAGGTCCCCAGAGGCCTTGGCCACGTGAAGCCCAAGGGGGGCCGGAAGCGCCCAAACACATCCGAGAGAGGAGGAGCCGGAGGAGGAGTTGGAGCTGGAGGAGCTGGAGGAGGGGCTGGAGAAAAAGAAGGGGGAGGAGGAGAGGCCGGGGGATTGTGGAGCCCGTCGTCCTTTTCATAGTGTTTTTATCGAGTCAAATGCTCTTTCACCCTGAAGCTTTGATTTTTTGACATTTTTCTTTTCGCCGTGATCCCCTCATACTAATCGTTTCTCGTTATATCGTTCTCTAGTGTTCTCTCTCTCTCTCTCTCTCTTTGCTCCTCTCTCTCTCTCTTTGTCTATCTCCTGCACCAGGCCAATGCATGCCGATGCGATACAAATCCATTCCCAACCAACACCAATGCCAATGCAATGCCAATGGGGGAATCCTTTCGTTCGGTGGATTTCAGTAAGAGTAATTACTTTGTGGATGATGTCATTACGAATCCTTCTTCGGAGGATTTCGATAGCAATGCTTTTGTGTAGGGTTTCGATCGGGATCCTCATGTGGAGGGTTTCAGTAGGAATCCTTCATGGGGGGGGATTCAATCGGAATCGTTATTGTGGAGGTTTTCAGTAGGAGTCCGTCTGCGGAGGGAGCCATTCGGATTCGCCAGCGCAATGCCAACGCAATGCCAAAGCTTTGCCATCGCAATGCCAAACCAATGCCAAGGCGATCCCAGATCAATGCCAATGCAATGCCCATGGGGGGTATCCTGTGTGGGAGATTCCAAAAGGAATCCTACCTGTGGAGGGTTTCGATTGGAATCCTTCCGTGGGGGGGTTCAGTGTGAATATGTTATGTGGGGGGCTTTCAAAAGGATCCCTTCTTGTGGAAGGTAAGGATTCCTTTTGTTGTGGGAGCTGTTCGAGCTCGCCAGCGCAATGCCGAAGCAGTGCCAACGCAATGCCACACCAATGCCAATGCAATGCCAATGGGGGGACTTGTTTGTGGTAGATTTCACTAGCAATCCTTCTAAGAACCCTTATTCGGGGGATTTCAGCAGGAAACCTTTTAAGGAGGGCTTCGCATGGAACCCTTGTGTTGAGGATTTCAAGTTGGATCCTTCTTGTGGGGTGGATTCAATAGGCATCCTTGTTGTGGGGGTGTTTACTAGGAATCCTTCTGTGAAGTGTTTGAGTAGGATTCGCCAGCGCTGTGTCAACGCAATGCCAACGCACTGCTAACGCACTGCCATCGCAATGCCGACGCAATGCCAATGCGATGCCAAACCAATGCCAATGCAATGCCGATTGCGGGACTCCTGTCTTCCAACATATGTCATTAGGAACCTTTATGTGGATGATTTGGTTACGAACCCTTCTTCGGAGGATTTCGATTGTGGGGCTTCACTTTGAATCCTTCATGCGGGGGCTTTCAAAAGGACCCCTTCTTGTGCACGGTTTTCATAGGAATCCTTCTGTGGGGGGAGCCATTCGAACTCGCCAGCGCAATGCCAACGCAATACCTTCGCAATGCCAGACCAACGCCAAAGTGATCCCACATTCAATGCAAATGCAATGCCAATGGGGGGAATCGTTTGTGGTCGGATTCAAGAAGAATCCTTGGATGGAGGGCTTCGAATGGAATCCTTCTGTGAGGGAGTTCAATGGGAACCTTTTTCTTGTGGGACGTTTCCAACGTAATCCTTCTAGCGGGGGGTTCAACAGGAATCATTATGCGAAGAGAGGTGGTGGAACTCGCCAGCGCAATGCCAACGCAGTGCCAACGCAATGCCACACCAATGCCGAAGCGATCCCAACCCAATGCCAATGCACTGCCAATGGTGGAAGTCCTTTGTGGTAGATTTCAATAGGAATCCTCCTGTGGAGGGTTTCGCATGGAATCCTTTTTTTTCTGGAGGGTGTCAGTAGGAGCCCTTCTTGTAGAAGGTTTCGATCGGAGTCCTTCTGTTCTGTGGAGGGCCCCATTAGGACTCGCCAGCGCAATGCTTGCGAACTGCAAGCGCACTAGCAACGCACGGCCAAGCGCAATGCCAACGCAATGCCAATGCGATGCCAACCCATTGCCAAGCCAATGCCAATGCAATGCCAACGGGGGGGTCTTTATTTCGAAGCATATCAATATCAAGCACGGTTTGCATTGGAATCTTTCCGTGGGGGGAGCCATTAGGACTCGCCAGCGCCTTGCCAACGCAATACCAACGCAATGCCAAGCCAATGCCAAAGCGATCCCACATTCAATGCCAATGCAATGCCAATGGGGGAAATCGTTTGTGGACGCTTTCAAGAAGAATCCTTCGATGGAGGGCTTCGAATGGAATCCTTCCGTGCGGGAGTTCAATGGGAACCTTTTTCTTGTGGGACGTGTCCAACGTAATCTTTCTAGCGGGGGGTTCAACAGTAGTCATTATGCGAAGAGAGGTGGTGGAACTCGCCAGCGCAATGCCAGCTCAATGCCAACGCAGTGCCAACGCAATGCCACACCAATGCCGAAGCGATCCCAACCCAATGCCAATGCATTGCCAATGGTGAAAATCCTTTGCGGTAGATTTCAATAGGAATCCTCCTGTGGAGGGTTTCGCATGGAATCCTCTGTGGGGGGTGTCAATATGAACCGTTCATGTGGACGGTTTCAATAAGAGTCCTTCTAGTAGAAGGTTTCGATCGGAGTCCTCCTGTGGAGGGTCCCATTCGGACTCGCCAGCGCAATGCCTGCGAAATGCAAGCGCGCTAGTAACGCACTGCCAAGCGCAACGCCAACGCAATGCCAATGCGATGCCAACCCATTGCCAAACCAATGCCAATGCAGTGCCAACGGGGGGTTCTTTCTTTCGAAGCACTTCAATACCAATCCTTCTGAGGGTGTTTTCAATAGGAATGCATATGTGGAGGATTGCGATTGGAACCCTTATGTAGAGGATTTCACTATGATTCCTTCTTGTGGTTCTTTTTTGTTCGCCGCCGACCCCCCCCCCCAAGAAAAACAATATAAAAGCAACTATGGTCAGTTGTTTTGGGGGGGAGGGGGGAGAGGTACAAAAAAACGAGGAGGAGGAGGAGGAGGAGGAGGAGGAGGAGGAGGAGGAGGAGGAGGAGGAGGAGGAGAGGGGGGGGGCGGAAGGAGAGGAACCCGCCACAGTTTACGCACACCACTGAACGACGCACGCGCGAATTCAGTGTGAAAGCCTCGCGCGCGCGCGCGCGCTCTGGAACCCCGAGGGGTTCCATAATCCCCCGCTCTCGAAGAGGAGGAGGAGATGGATGAGGTGGGGGAGGAGGAGTAGGAAGAGGATCTGTAGGAGAAGGACGAGAAGGACGAGCAGGAGGCGGAGGTGGTGGAGGAGGAGGAGGAGGCGCAGGGGGGGGAGGAGGAGGACCAGTGTCATCCCAAGACCCATCGATGATATTGCATTGCAATAATCCGTCCCTCCTCATTACCTCCTCATCGGCCCCTACACGGATTCGTTGTCACTGAGGAGGTATGCCTTGTTGGAAGACAAGCGTGTGAACATCCGGAAATGTGCCAGAACGCCATTCCTGGGAAATCAACGCCGTGAATCACCGTTGCGATTGCGCCTTGATGGTCTTTAACCGCGTCGGAACGCCATCCCTGGGACTTCAACACCGCGAATCAACGCGGCTGTTGCGCCATGGCATTCCGACACCGTGCCAAAATACGATGGTTGGGACGTCAACCATGGGAATCTTTGAAGCCGCTGCAAGCTCTTACGACGAATGTGCGCCGCGCTACGCGAGAGCCATCTTTTGAAAAAGAGCCGCCCCCCACCCGTGAAGCTCTTGCCAACTTGTAAGACGAATGCTTGCGGCGCCAAGGCGAGAGCCACCTTTTGAAAAAAAACTGCCCTCCACCCGTGAAACATTTAACGAACTGTTGCGATGAAAGTGCGCGGCGCTAAGGCGAGAGCCACCTTGTGAAAACGGACCGCCCTCCATTCTCGAGATTGCTGCCAACTGTTACGACGAGTGCGCGCGTCCTTTTGAACACGGGCCGCCCTCCATCTGTGAAGCGCTTGCACTGTTTGTATGACGAGTGCGCGCGGCGTTGAGGCGAGAGCCACATTTTGAGAACAGGGTGCCCTCCATCCGTGTCGCAGGCGAAACGCCAGGCACACCGTTTCGACCAGCCTCGGGGTACGACGGGGAGGAGTTCTGAAAAAGGAGAAATGATGTAGAAGGAGGAGGGGGACAGGAGGAGGATGAGGAGGAGCAGGAGGAGGAGGAGGAGGACGAGGAGATGCGTGGGGAGGAGGAGGAGGTTGACTGGAGTGATCCCCCTGGCGCATCAACGATTCTGCAATAAACCCTCCCTCCAACCTCCCTAATCGCAGGTCCCTAACAGCGTTTACGCTCATTGTAGGAAGCGGCCCGTCGTGTGCCCAATCCTGCCAACACGCAGTCCCTGGGACTTCAATGCCGCGGATCAACGTGGTTGTTGTGTCCTGACAATCCTAAATCGTGCCAGACCGTTGTTCCCAGGATCTCAACACCGCGAGTCAACGTTAATTTTGCGTCCTGGCAATCCTAACCGATACAGAACAGCATTCCTGGGGCTTCCACCGAACAAACCCTTGAAACTTGTTGCAGCCTTACAGCAGGAATGTGCTCGGCGCTAAGGTGGGAGCCACCTTTTGAATAGGAACCGCCTTCCATCCTTGAGACTGCTTTCAACTGTTAAGACGAGTGTGCGCGGCGCTAAGGCGAGAACCACATTTTGAAAACGACCCGCCGCCCTCCATCCGTGAGAGTGCTGCAAGCTTGTAAGACGAATGTGCGCGACGCGAATGCGACAGGCACAATGTGAAAACGGCCCGCCTTCAATCCGTGAAGCAGCTGCATCTTTTTAGCTTCGGGATCACAAATCGCGCGGAAGTCTGATGCAAGACGCTGGGCCCGCCCTACCGACACGTCTGGGGGTGCGAAGGGGGGGGGGGGTATTTTTTTAGAAAATTAGACGAATGGAGGAGGAGGAGGAGGAGGGGGAGGAGGAGGAGGAAGAGGAGGACGAGGACGAGGACGAGGACGAGGAGGGGGACGAGGACGAGCAGGAGGAGGAGGAGATCTGTCTGGTTCTTCATTCCCGCCGCGGGGCCCCGCGCCCGCCCGCCCGCCGCAGGCCGAGCCATACAAACTGGTGCCGCAGGTCGGCACGTACATCAGCATGGCGGGCGGCGGGGGACGGACCTCTCCTCCCCCTCGGCCTCCTCCGTCTCCATCATCGTCGGATCATCCCCCTCCCGCTCCGCCTCCTGCTCCCCCCCCCTCCACGCTGCGTTCAGTTCACGGGGTGCTCCTCCTCCCCATCTTCGTCAGATGTCATAGTGGCGTTTCTCCCCCTCCTCGTCCTCCTCCTCCCGATCCCACTCCACCTCCTTCTCCTTCTCCTCCTCCTCCTCGTCCTCCATCTCACCACTTCTCCCCACTCCACGGTGATACAATGTTACTACTACTCTCCTCCCTCCCCTGGTGGCGTCCGGGAAATGTCCGGCCCTCTCCGGGGGGGTCCCGTACGATGGTGGCCCGTGGCGTACGATGCCCTCGCAATTGAAAAGAGGGGGGTGCTTCCCCTTCAAGGGGGGGGGGGGGGCGTATTCCGACCCCCCCATCTTTCAAAGGGCGGGGTGAGGGTTTCGGACCCCCCCCCGGACCCCCCCCCACTTTTGGGAGGGGGGGGGGGGGGCGATTTCGGATCCCCCTCCCTCCCCCGCTTTGCGCAGGACAGGGGGGGGCAGGAGGGGAGGCCCTCTCCGCGCCGGAGCGCCGGCGCGGTTGGATTAGGTTGTGCGGGTAGGGGCTATGGCCAGGGCGGTCGGGTTAGGGAGCAGGGTGGTAGGGTTAAGGTGCTAGGGTTAGGGAGTTAGGCTTCGGGTTAGGGTGCTCGGGTTAGTTGAGGTCTTAGGTTGCGGGTGTGGGGGTTCGGGTGCTACGTCTAGGGTATTGGGGGTAGGGAAGTCGGGTCAGGGTTAGGGGTTAGGGCAGGTTTAGGGCATAGGGTAGGGATCGGGTTAGGGTTGACGATTCGGCTTAGGGGCCAGGGGTTAGGAGTCAGGGTTTGGGTTACGTTTAAGGGATTGGGGATTAAGGGTGGTGTTAGAGTTAGGGTTCGGGTTAGGGGTTAGGACTAGGGGTTATGGGGACAGTGTCAGGGCAGGGGTGACAGTTAGGGTTAGGGCTTCGGGTTAGGGCCAGTCGCCTCTATTCGAAGCCCGCTGGACGTATCCCACCCACCCATGGCCCATCACATGCAGAACTCGACGCGTCGAGGGCGTCAGTGCGATGCGTCACGCGCAGCACTTGCGCAGCGCCTCGAACCGAAGCAGCGGCAATGCGGCATGGGATCGAAGCGACCAGTGGGTGGCTCCCCACAGCAGGTTGCCGACGCATCGGCGAGGACCGCCTGGGCCGCGCGTCAGCCGCGCCTGGCGGGCGCCTGGGGGTCGCCCAGGAAGCGCATGGCGGGCGCGGGGGAGAGCCTGGGGCACAAGCGCGCAGGCGTGTTCGAGATGATACGTTTTGATAGAGATCGCACGAGTTGGGAGGAGCGCGTGTGCTCCGCGAGGTATTCTTGTTGCAAGGGGTTCTGGGCGCATGCATGGGAACCCGTAGTTTGTTGCAAGGGATTCTGGCCGCATGGGCACAACGCCGTATTTTTTACAAGGGGAAGTGGGGGACGCGGAAGGGGCGGCATAAGGGGACTCAAGGCTTAAATCGTTATAGGCTTTTAGTTTTTGGGGTCAGGGCTTAAGGCTTGGGTTAGGTTTAGGGGTTAGGGTTAGGTGTCAGGGCAGATATTAGGGTTAGGGTGAGGGGTTGGGGTGAGGGGTTGGGGCAGGGCTCCTATTAGGGTTGGGGTTTGGGGTTCGGGATAGGCTATAGGGTCTAGGCATTAGGGCTAGGGTTTCCGAGTTCGGGTTCGGGAGTCAGGGTTTGGTTGCGGGTTAAGGGTTAGGATTATGGGGTTAGGGGTTGGGAGGGTGGGGTAGGGGTTAGGATCAAGACTCCCTCCCCGCCCGCGAGCCGTTTCGCTCACTCCCACCCGCCCTCCCGACACATACGTAGCACCCGAGCCTGGCCCGAGCCGCAGCATCTTCAGCAGTCGTCTTTGGATGGGCAGCTACTGGGGGCGAATCCGCCGCCGCCGCCGCCGCCGCCGCGCCGCCACCGCCCCCGCCGCTGTCCGCCGCCACCGCCGCCGCGCCGCCCGCTGCCGCCGCCGCCGCCGCCGCCCCCGCTGCCGAAACGCCGCAGCCGCAGCCGCTGCCGCCACAGCCGCTGCCGCCGCCGCCGCCGCCGCCGCCGCCGCCGCCGCCGTCGCTCCCGCCGCCGCCGCTGCCACCGCCGCCGCCACCGCCGCAGCCGCCGCAGCCGCTGCCCTCGCCGCAGCCGCCGCCGCCGCTAAGTGTACTCTGTGTTGTTTTGTTGACAGGGATGGTGGGGGGAGGCCGCATCGGGTTCGCTGCGCATGCTCCGAATTAGGACGCGGAGTGTGTTTCGTATTGTTTTTGTACACGGGATGGTGGGGGGGTGTGCCCGCATTGTTCCTGGTTGGCTCCCAGTCGCCTGGGGGAGGGGGTGTATGTTCATAGAGAACAGTGATAGAAGTTCAGGTCCGGGTTCAGGGTTTAGGGTTAGGGGTAAGGGGGTTGGGGTTACAGTCCACTAGTCCCAATCAAAGCCCGCCGGACGCGCCCCACCCACCCATGACCCATAACATATAGAACTCAACGCGTCGACGACGACGGCGGTGCTCTTGCCAATCAGACAAGACGACGCGTCGGCGATTTATCGGCGTTGCATCGCTGATTCCAGGTCGTTCCCTCGGAGCTGAGCCCCCGCATCGAGGCTGCCATAGCCTCGCGGAAAGCCAGGGGGCCATTGTCCAGCCTGTATGCGGCGGCCCCCGGGGAAGGGTACGGGCGCGGCTTTGGACCCGCAACGGTCGAGGTAGTGCCCGTGCCCTT